GCCTCCACCAGGCTGCATCTCCTCCCTGACATTCCCGCCCGCCTAGCTGACACTCCCAAAGGCAGTGGGACCTCAGCTAGCACCCCGGGGGCACCACCTGGGCGGGGCGCCCAGTCCTCCCACGCCCACCCCATTCAGACAGGAGGAAACAGGCTGCTCATTTGCTCGGCGATGGCAGGGTGGTGGGTAGTTGGTCTGATTCAGGCACCAAGCTTCACGCCCCCTGCTCCCCGCCCCCCCGCCAATGCCCCCTGAATGCCATGCCCGGAAAGGTGAGGAGGTGGCGGGAGCTCCCTGCCCGGGGAGGGTGAGGACAGAGATGTCCGCAGGGGAACTCGGGTGGTGAGGACAGGGCTCCTCACCCTCCGCCCGGCTGGCTGGTGAGATGCCATCCAGATGGTGGCGGCAGGGTTGGGGATCCCCCTGTTATGACAGCTGGTCATGGGATGCTGAGTCACTGCCGGCCTGGCCACCTGACCAGGCGTGGCTGGCGGAGAGGGCCCTGCCAGGGGGTTCCCCGGCCGCAGCCTTGTTTACAGCTCCTGTCCTTGGGGGGGCGGGGGGAATGGGCTCGCAGCCGGGCATGCTGGGAAGGCCACGGCTGGGGATCCCCAGGGGCCAGGGTCTCCTGGTCTGCTTCTCAGGGGACAGTTTCCTGCCGTCCGGTTTCTGCCCGAGTTCTCCGTCCCTTGCTGCAAACCCCACCTTCCCCGGTTGCCGAGGCCAGGCGTCCCGCGGGCAGCCTCTGGTTTCCCTCAGTCACTCTTTGTCAGGGCCGTGCCTGGGGCCTTTCCTGAATCCCGGGTTCCCGGACCAGGGGGCTCTCCTTGTGTACCCTCCACCCGCCCAGCCGGGGACGCTGGAGCCCTGGGAGCTGGAAGCGGGGCTCCTGGCCCAGTCTGCAGGGGCTGCGAGGCTGCTGAGTCACCCCGGGCACCTGTAGGCCCTTCAGCCTCTGCCCAGTGCTGCCCCTCCCTTGTCCCTGACCCTGTCCGCGGCGGGCGGAGGGTCACTCTCCCAGGCTCGCAGTAGGAATGCTGGCGGGCCCGAGAGGGGCTGTCCTGCTGCAGGGCGGTGTGTGCGGGGATGCACAGCCCTGCCTGCTCTGGGACAGTCCGGGGAGGACCAGCCACAACTGACGAATTGATCCACCCACCCTGGGGGAGGGGGTGTCTGGGCTCCCACAAACCCCTCCAGGACTCTGAACGTACATGACTTTGGCTCAACAGGCCCGAGCTTCTCCTCACAGGGCCCTACCTGGGAGGATTCATGGAGTGACACTCTCCCCCACCCCCCCCCCCCCAGCCCCTTCCTCCAGGCCTTGTGACCAGGCCCCTTTGTGACCGGACAACCCAGGGGTCCGGGCCGCCTGGCACTACTTGAGTCAATGGAGCAGAGACAGGGTTGCATCATATATGAGCATTTATTCCAATATTGTCAGCAGCAGGGCACCCACAAAATCTGCTCTGCCCCCCACCATAAGCCAGCTGCTTATATTGGGCCAAAGGACAAAGATTACATGGGGAAGCAGGCGTCACAGGCGTGGGGAGGTAGGCAAGGTGGGCTGGGGTGGGGAGCAGGGGCAGGACTCCATTGTTTGAGCAAGGAGGTTGTTAATCTTTCCATAATAATAAGCTGTTCTTGAATGTTCCTGAACATTCCAAGGTTGACTCCTCTTCCCGGGGGCATACAACTCCCAACCAGGTTAGCAGGCGCTTTCTTTAATCGGAGCTTAACAGTCAGGGGTCATATTCTTTTTTTAAAAAATGTATTTTATTGATTTTTTACAGAGAGGAAGGGAGAGGGATAGAGAGTTAGAAACATCGATGAGAGAGAAACATCGATCAGCTGCCTCCCGCACATCTCCCACTGGGGAAGTGCCCGCAACCCAGGTACATGCCCTTGACCAGAATCGAACCTGGGACCCCTCAGTCCACAGGCCGACGCTCTATCCACTGAGCCAAACCGGTTTTGGCAGGGGTCATATTCTTATTTTATTTCTTGGCTAGTCCTCAATATTCTATTTCTGCCCCTAACAACTTTGGTCACATAAAGCACGTTTCTTGGTTCCGAGTTGTAGGGCAGTTGGTCCTACCCCTGGGCTGCCCATGGCCTGGGCCCTGCGCGCTCCCTGCCGAACTGAACCCCTGGGCGGGGGGCGTTCAGGCTCCACGGGAGGCGCCCGAGCGGCCCTCCAGCTGCTGGTGGGCTTGTGTGTGTCAGCACCTCCAGGCTCCCTCTTAG